AAAATTAATCCTAATAAGACTCAAGCTATCTTTTTTACAAGAAAAAGAAAACATTGTTTCTTGCCAAATGGTAATCTAACTCTTTTAGGCAGTAATATTATTTGGTCTTATAACGTTCTTTATTTAGGTATTTCTTTGGACAAAAAGTTGACATTTAACTCTCATGTAAGCCACATTATCGATAAAATTAACAAATATAAAAATATATTATACCCACTTATCAATCGTAACTCTTTACTAAGTAATTCCAATAAAATTTTAATTGTTAAAACCATTTTTCAGGCAATAATCCTATATGGCTGCCCAATTTGGGGCAATTGTGCCAAAACTCATTTAAATCGCCTGCAAATAGCTCAGAATAAAATTCTGAAAATGGTTCTGAAATTACCATGGCATTTTTCCACCTCCAGATTGCACACCATCAGTAACACCAAAACTGTTACAAAAGCCATTGAAATTCTAACCGCACGTTTTAGATTCAACTGCTCTTTTTCGGATAATCCTCTTATTTCCGCACTGTACTAATTGTAAATGTTACTGTCTACTTATTATTGTTTTGTAATTTTTTTTTTTTTTTTTTTTTTTGCTATCTTATATACATATGTATATTGTAATTTTTCTAATGTTAATTACTTTCTTACCTATTACTTTATATAATGTATTAACTAGTTAGTAGTACTATGTTGCTCTGTTTTTTTAATCATTTTATTAATAAAATTATTAATTCATAATTACTCATTTTTTCATTTTTTTTCCTCATATTGAAGGTTTTTGTTTATAGTTTTCCTTCAAAGTATTAATCTATTTCTTTACAATTGTTATTTTCTTTAATTAAATATAAAACTTAAGATATAAGGCAAAGCCAAATCTGTGCAATATAACTTTTTGTATTTATGATAAAATTGTAAAAAATTTCTATTAAATAAATAAATAAATCTTTATTTCATAATGAAATTTTTAATTTTTTGAAATGGACCTTATATGGGAGCCTATCAGGAAAAAATATTGTAGAGTGATTCATATAAAGACAAACATATTTGTGTCGAATTTTATCAAGATAACTTTATTTGATGAAATATGAGTGTTTAAGTGATTTTCGGAAGTGGGCCTTATATGGGAGCTAAGAACAATAATGGACCGATCCGGAAAAAAGTGGTAGAATGATTTATGTACACAAAAGATATTCAAGTCGAATTTTCTCTCTATAGCTTTAGAATTCAATGAAATATATGCGTTTAAGTGATTTTAGGATGTGGGCCTTATATGGGAGCTATGACCAATTATGGGCCTATCCGGAAAAAATTTCGAAGAGTGATTTATATTTAGGCAAAACATATTTGGCTTATATGGGAGCTATGACCAATAATGGACCGATCCGTAAAAAATTGGTAGAATGATTTGTATGTACACAAAACATATTCAACTCCAATTTTATCTCAATAGCTTTATTTATCAATAAAATATGTGCGTTTAGGTAATTTTCGAAAGTGAACCTTATATGGAAGCTATGACCAATTGTGGACTTACTGAGATCTACGTTGCTGACATGATTTCTGTTCATATTATATTTGCATGTACAAAATTTTTGTTGATATCGATATATTTGAGGGAGTTATTAATGATAAACTAATTTTCAGGAATATATATCTTTATATGGGGGCTATGGGAAATTTTGAATCGATTATCTTGATTTCCAACATAGTTTATCCCTGGATAAAAAAAAAATAATGTGGGACAAAATTCATAGAATTACCTTTTGTAGTTTCTGAGAAAACAACTTAAGAATTACGAAAACACCTCTAATTTGTTCGAGATTGTCTGAAATTATCACTCATAACTTTTAAAGTTGTGAACGTATTTTGCTGATTTTCAATACGAAACTGCTTAGGACAACAGTGAATATTTTTGGTGAATTTGGTTATATTTCTTTTGCTTAGTTTTAACGTGAGCATGTTTTAAACAGACAGACAGACACACACACAGACAGACAGACATACGGACATAGCTAAATCGACTCAAAATTTGATGAGGACCAAGAATACATATACTTTGCTGGGATTAATATTTCATGGTGTTACACACGGAATGACAAACTTATATATACCCCCTATCACCTCTTATGGTGTTGAAAGGTATAATTATGTTGTATTAAGTGGTTTTCAGATGTGAACCTTATATGGGAGGTAGTTATGGACCGATACTGAAAAAATTCCTTATATGGAAGCTGTAACGAATTATGAAACGATGTGGAAAATTTTCAAGAATATATATATATATATATATATATATATATATATATATATATATATATATATATATATATATATATATATATATATATATATATATATATATATATATATATATATATATATATATATATATATACAAAACAAATTCACATCAAGTTTTACCCTGATAGCTTTATTTATCAATGAATTAAGCGCATTTAAGTGATTATCGGATGTGGACCTTATATAGGAGATATGACCAATTATGGACCGATCCGAAAAAAATTCGTAAACTAATTCATATATACACAAAACATATTCATGTCGAATTTTATCCCGATAGCTTTATTTATCAATAAATTAAGCTTGTTTAAATGATTTTAGGATGTGGACCTTATATGGGAGCTAGTACCAATTGTGGACTGATCTGGAAAAGAATTCACTGAATGATTTATATCTATATACAAAACATATTCAGCCCTGATTGCTTTATTTATCAATGAATTATGCCCATTTAAGTGATTTTCGGATTTGGACCTCATATGGGAGCTATGACCGATTATGGTCCGATCCGGAATAAATTTCGTAGAGTAATTTATATATACACAAAACACATTCATGTCGAATTTTAACCAGATAGCTTTATTTATCTATGAATTAAGCTCGTTTAAGTGATTTTCGAATGTGGACCTTATATGGGAGCTATGACCGATTATGGACCGTCCCGGAGAAAAATTCCGTAGAGTGATTTATGTATACACAAAACATACTCATGTAGAATTTTATCCCGATAGCTTCATTTATCAATGAAATATGTTCATTTAAGTGATTTTCGAAAGTGGGCCTTATATGGGAGCTATGACAAATTGTGGGCCGATACAGATCTAAGTCATATTATGTTAATATGTACAAAATTTTGTGTTGATATCGATATATTTGAGGAAGTTATTATCGATAAATTAATTTCCGGGAATATGTACCTTTGTATGGGGGGTATGAGAAATTTTGGATCGATTGTTACAATTTTAAACATAATTAATCTATAGATGAAAAAATAATCTGTGATAAAATTTGTCGAATTATCTTTGGTAGTTTCTGAGAAAACTACTCAAGATTTAGGAAAAAAACTTAATTTTTTTCGAGGTAGTCTGAAATTTTAACTCGAAACTTTTTAAGCTATGAACCGATGTTGTTGATTTTCAATACCAAACTGCTTAGGAAAACAATGAATATTCTCAGGGAATTTGGTTGATTTCATTTGCTTCGTTTTATCGTGAGCGTGTTTTAATCAGACAGACAGACGGACATAGCTAAATCGACTTAGAATTTCATAAGGACCCAGAATATATATACTTTGTTGGGTCTCAGATGAATACTTTTTGGTGTTACACAAGGAATGACAAACTATCACCACTGATGGTGGTGGAGGGTATAATAATCACTTTTAAAGTATTGAAAAAGGTTATAAAGTTTCAAAATAGTCTGAATTTAAATTATTTCAACTTTTTACAAAAACAAGAAAAATTTCGCAACTATAAAGCTATGTAGCAGAAAAATTCAACAACATATGACATTGACATTTTTACTAGTGATGTAGAATTTTGTACTCTTTAATCGAGTAAAAAGAAACTTTCAAAATTTTACTTTTACTTTTGCAATTAATATCCATTTTTCCCAAATTCAACCTTTTGTGCGTTTAGACTGTGCGATGATGAATCAGTCAGTCAGTAACGTTAGAATTTTATATATACAGATATAGATTACTCGAATATTAGTTTTTGCCCTTATAAGATAACGCTAACTCGTTCTCAGCTATGGTCAAAAAAGTTTGATTTTTTCAACGGCCGTTTCAAATCTCCATTTTCAGTTTTTTTGAAACGATAAAAAAATGCTATCAATATTTCTTACATTTTAGCTATACCTGCGATTTGAACTCGGCGGATTTTGGGAAAATCGCAGTTTTTTGTAATATTTTAGAGAATACGTATTAATTCATTACTGTTGGACATTTTACAAAAAGTATTATAGTCGAGATAATATAAAATATTTATCCGAAGTTTTATTAAGATCGGACATTCTTAACCCATAAATTGGTATTCAAAAGTCAAATTTTGCAATATTTGGGAATTGTTAGTGTACATATCGAAATAATATATATTTGTCGGCCATATTTACCAAAAATTACTGGAATTTATCGTATATAGTCCGATATTTGAAATAGAGTGATAAAAGGTAGATTAACCCTTTAAGGCACTTGGGAATAATTTAACACCAAAATTCAAAAATTCGAAAAAACTCTATCTATTTGAATAATGCTCTATATAATTAGAGGAATAAGAGAAATAAAACAAAAAATTATATTTCAAATTTGAGCAAAAACTGAAAAAATCTATATTTTCCCCTTGTAAATGCACTTGAAAACTGCAGAGCTGTTGCGGCACCTGTTAACGTTATCCTATCAACCTAATTTTTTGCATGACATAGTTTTACAACCCAAAGAACAATTCTAGAGGGGGGCCCGGCAAAATTCGCAACTTCGTTTTTTTTTTTTGGAGCACTCTAATGTATATAGATGTTAGTAATTTATACATTGCGCCGACGTCTGACAATTGACTAAACAATGGTAATACTAAAACCATAAATTTTTAAGTAGAAAAAAAGTAATGGACCTATATGAGAAATAGTTGTGACCTTTAGAAAAATAGTTGACCAGTTGTCTAAATAAATACGGTATTTAAAAAAAACTGTTCTACAGATCACACATATAAATTAAATATATTTCTTACCTTGCCTTCCCACAATTTCTGCAACATGCTCTGAACTCGGAACCGGTACACATTCCGTCATGTTTTGTGATTTTTTTGAACGTTCCTCTGTTGTTGTTGGTGTTACGGTGGCCAAGTTTTGATTGGGACTTGACATTGAATTTATTTTGCTTGGAATGTTATCTTGATTAGATTCAGTTAAAAAGTGCTGATTTAGTAATGTAGCAGCGGCTTGAGATTGTGTTTGTAGAAAAACTTTTGTAGTCATATGATACGGATTTCCAACGGATGTATATGACGAGGAAGATGAATATGGCTGATGATGTTCCAGCGAACTGTGTTGTAAGTGATGTGATTGTAATTGTTGATAATGATTTGATGTTGGCGACAAAGTAGGTTGTCCTTCAGATGTTGGCGATGACATTTTATTTAAATTCATCATCGTCAACTCGACAGCTAATTGAAGTGTTCGTGCATCTTCATTATTTAAACAAGAACTATCAGCAGTGGACTGCTGCGCATGCTGATGGTGCATATTTTCTAACAAAAGTCTTTGTTCGTTCGCAGTACTACTATTGTTATTATTGTTATTATGTAAAGATTCTGGAGTAAGGAGATTTGATTCAGTTTGATTTGGAGTATCCGGTAATGATTTTACTATAACTTGATCATCTTCCAAATCTCCGTTAACTGCAGCCAATAAGGAAGCATTCAATTGACATGTTCCTGAGGTAAATGAATCTTCTAAGTTTATTGATGTATTTAAACACATTTGATTGCCTGGATTACCGGTCAGCTTGTTACACGAATTTTCTAATGAATGCGAAGTTAAATATGAGTTTGATGATGAGGATGACGATGGAGAATTTGACAACGAGCAACATCCTGAGCTTCCACTTAAAACTACACCACTCTCAAAAGAAAACAACGATGAAGAACCAATCAAGTTAGCAGCAATAGGAGATGTTTCCAGAGAAGTCTTGGTTGAAGATGGTTGTGGTGATGATTGTTGCAAGCAATTGACTGCCGATTGAGTGGGGGTTGCTATTGAGTGAATAGAATTTGAGTTGTTGTTAGATTGAAGTGCTTTAGTACATTTTTGTTGTCCCTTAACATGTTGCTGCTGCTGCGGCCTTATTGTAGATCCAGCTACGCTTGTCGCTAAAGACATTTCTAAATTCCTTTTCAATCTCTTGCCTTTTACTTTATATTTGTAAATAAATTTATAGTTTTAACCAATTTTTAATTACTTTCGCATTTTTTCAAAAACATTAAGCCAGACAACCTGAAAATAGTAAATAAAAAATATTAAAATAAGCCTGTGATGTGTGTACTATATTGAACTTTAAAAGATGAAAATTTTATATATGCTAATATGTGATTAGAATTCTTTAATATCATTTTAATGGTACGATGTGTGTAGCGAAGCACGCTGGATATAGCTACTACTATATAAATTCTTACATATGCAAGTGTGAACATGAGGGTACATTTTGTTGTTATTTGTAACCGATTACGTCCAAAAGGCTAGTTTTAATGTGGAAAAAATTAACGAAAAGCCAACGAAATTTTTATACCACATTTAAGGGTTTTTCGTTAAATTTTTTATTTAGTGAATACATAGTTAATATGAAATTTCTTCATATTTACTAATATCGTTTCGTTGTTTAGGGGTAATATTTTTTATTCGTTATACCAAATTGAGGTGGTAACTTTTCATGTCATTTATTTATTTTCATAATATGTAATATTTGAATATACCTATTTTAGTCGAAAAAGAAAATGTTATTGACAAAATAAAATTGAACAGAGCTAAATTATCCTGCCTGTTCTGTAAACCGAATCTGAGTAAATTTTTCGTTTAAAAACGAATTCTCATAATTTCTCTCGTTTTAAAACCGAGTACACAAATCTAGTCGAAAGTAAATCGATTTTAATTTTATTAAAATAAGTTAAATAAATGTTATTTGCATTTTTAATATAATTGCAATTTAATATAAATGCTGTGGGCATTTTAAACACTTTTTCATTTAAAATGTGATTGTTTTTCTGAATTTTACGTTCAAATAACACCAATTTACGATTTGCAGAACACCAAATTCGGTTTTAAAAGTTTATCGGTTTTGAAACCGAATCGATTTACAGAACAGACAGGTATATAAGTAAATGAATATTTAAGCAAATAATGTGAAAAAAATTTTCAAGACGTTTTAATGAATAAAAAAATAATACGATTTTTAAGGTTTTTATCAAATGTTTTGATAGGTGTGAACTAAATAAGTTTTAGACATAAAACATCAATAATAAGGCTTCGCTGAGAGTCTCGTATAGTAACTCTTGTACACGTTTTTGTTGACGGCGTAAAAAACGATTGTAAAAGAATGACGTTAAAAAAGGTAAAAACTACCAATACAACGACCATCTGTAAAACAAAAAATATTGTATTAAAATAACTTATAAACGTATATATGGAAAAAATATTTGAACGCTTACTTTCACTTATGTTATTCATTTACTTCATATACATATATGTTTACAAGATTGGTCCTTTAAGCGATCTGCAAACACGCAGTTAACTTTTATGCAGAAAATGTCGAAATTGACATGAATACACTCTGATTTTGGATATAATTTAATTCTACAAGAAATGAACCAACATGACATACATACATATGTATATAAATATGTTGAGTTTTAAAGAATAGCTTCGCATGTGACACATCGTGGATCGGGTAATTTTTTGTTGCACCCAAATAGATTTAAAATTATTTTTTTTTTGTATCCAGTGTTTTATTGCAATAAGGCTTCTTTTGGACAACGCCACATTGTTTCAGCTTACGCATTATATTCAAATATTTGTCTTTCAATTTATCTTGGGGTTTTCTTCCAGATTACTTTAAGTAGTAATATTCCTAAATAATAAAACAAATATCAGTGCTATATATATATTTATATAAAAATACAACGAGGTCTTACCAGAGATTCACAACAAAATAAAATTTCCTTAACTTTTTTTCTTTTATATTGCGAAAAATTAAGAAATTTCTTCAGTTCTACGTGTCTTTATTCAATTTGAATAAAATAGTTAAATTTAACGACCTTTCCTTAATTCCAACGCCATTCGCCACTTTTAAATACCTTTAGTTATACAGAAGAAATTTCTTCAATTTCAACAAAGTGATTTAGTTGAAATTAACGAAATTTATTTAAAGCTACAGCCCTATTTCATTATTTCTTCTTTGTATTTATTTGTATTTTTTTTATTGTGAGAATTGAAGAAATTTCTTAATTTCTACATGGGTTTATTCAATTTGAATAAAATAAAACAGTTAATAAATATACATAATTTTTTTTCTTCTTACTTTTACTAAATTTTAACTATTTTTTTTTGTTATTTAAAATTACAAAACTTTATTCAAAATAACAATACAATCTTTAAATTAGTGTAAAATTAACTATTTTAGATGTAGATTTGAGTTAACTATTTTATCACTGTTTTCTGTTGATTTAACAAAATTTTGGATGTAAAATAATTAAATTCAACAGATTAAACAAAAATTTATTATTAGATTTGAATAAAAAAGCTAAATTGCTTTGGACGATTAAACTATATTTTTTCGTTAAAGGTCAGCGTTGCCATATAAATTTCTACAAAAATACCCAAATTATACAGAAAAATCCTTTTTTCGCTTAAAAAACATCATAATTTTAAACAAATTTGAATTATAAAACTTAATATCTATTTTGATTAAATCTTAACTACGAATAGTAAGATAATATGTACAAATGTTTCCATACTCGTCAGATTTTCAAATATTACTTAGGAACAGTAAATAAATTGACACGATTTTCTTCGCTCTGGTTTTGTCATTCTAAAGAGATACTTTAGTCATGAATGACTAGAGTTTGGGAATTCCCGGACTTTTCAATTTCCCGGGAAACGGGAATGAAAAAAATCATTTCCCGGGAATTTATGAAAAACTTAATTTTTAACTATAATAACAAAATTTTTTAACAAAACTGACTACTTTATTTATAAATTTAACAATATCTAAAATATTCTGTCTTTTAAAAACCCTGCAAGCAATTTTTTAGTCGACTACGAAGATAATCCACTATTAGTTAGCTATTGCTGACTGAATATAATGCAGCACTGCCGCAAAATTTGGTGATAGACACATACATACATACATACATACATACATACATACATACATACATACATACATACATACATACATACATACATACATACATACATACATACATACATACATACATACATACATACATACATACATACATACATACATACATACATACATACATACATACATACATACATACATACATACATACATACATACATACATACATACATACATACATACATACATACATACATACATACATACATACATACATACATACATACATACATACATACATACATACATACATACATACATACATACATACATACATACATACATTCCGTTATTCATTTATAATAATAATAATAATATGAATAACACAAATAAGTACAAACATATAATTTTTTTCAGTGCAAAGCACAGACATTTTCATTTATGTTCTCTTTCATATTTTACACTACAACATATGCGTTTTAAACATTCTCTTTCTGGCAACCATTGATTTATTGTTGTGAGCAGTGTGACCAGGTCTCAAAAAATGTTGCGGCTAAATCCCATCCAAAATAATGCTAGAAAAAATGCTAAATTGATTTTAAAATGCCAAAAAAAAAATGCTAAAATTTTTTAAGTGTTTTTATGAACAATTCATTTTAATATGTAACTGAAATTCATTGTAATTTATAACAAGTAAGAAAGTATATTCTGCCCTGGTTGACCATATGAGTATAAAATTTGATTTATTTTTCGTAATAAAGCATTTATGTTGAATTGAACCTTGGTTCCGATATATTTAAACTAATTTTCTGAGAAAGGCTTTATACATTTGTATATGTATTGGGGGCTAGGTAAAATAAAGGACGGACTTTAACCATTTTTAAAAGGTTTTGTCATTGGATCAAAAAGCATACGTGCTTATTGTTTTGAAAATTTCAACCTCTACCAGACGGTCAGACTTACATGGTTAATCGATTCAGAAAATGATTCTTAACCGATTAGTATACTCAAACGTAGTATAGTCGAGTAGGGTAAAAAATTAAGTTCCGTGGTATTAAGATAAACAGAAATGCTAAAAATTATTTCAAAATTTTTTTAAATTTAGCAATATGTAATGTCTCTAACTTTAAAATATTTCTGAATGCAAAAATTACAATAAAACTCTATTAATTACACTAGTTGCTCATGGTATAAAACCTATATGTGTTTTCGGAAGAAAAAAAAAATATAATATTTCTAGTTTTACTTTTTTTATATACACAATTTTATTTGTCTTCCTCAAAACACATTAAAAATTGTTTTCATGTCACAAAAATATTGAAAATTCCGTTGAAATAATTTTAAATCTCGGTGAATAGATGTCAGGTTTATAACTCATACTTCCAAGATTTTTTCGGAAAAATATATATGAGAATGTATGAAATGAATTGAGAGATATATTCAAATCCGTAAGTTTGTAATTCTGGAATAAATTGTCAATAATATTTTCGAAATTTATGTATTTTTTTTAATTAAAAAAAAAAAACGTGACAACAAAATTACTAAAAATTTGGTAAAAATAAAAAGAACAGAAAGTGGGATGAGAAAGTCTTAATTATATATTATTGATTTTTTTCAATACTTATTTTCAATAAATTAACAAGAACTCCTGAAGGATGATAAAAATTAAAACCTCTTTATTTCGTATAGGAAAAAATAAAATTTGTTAATTAACCGTCATACATAGCCTTTTCCAAAATTATATGTTTCATTCCATGAGCAAACAAAAAGTATTAGTTTGTAAAATAGCGTACTGAACGTATTTGTAAAAATATATGAAATATCTTGAATTATTTCTATCACTTCGAATTTAAAAAAGCATTGGGTTCCAGAAAAACATTTTAGAATACAACATTTTAAAGTATTCACTTGTATTGGCGTAATTTTAAGTTATTTATCTTCATGAATCTTTTTGCATTATTTTGAATTACAGTGTAAATTATTACATTTCTCATATTTCTTGTTGCTTGTGTTTGGGTAGACATTTAATTCTGATTTTTTCCGGTTAAACCTATTTCCAATATAAATCTTTTTTGCAAAAATTTTTCTTTTTTTTGTTTTATACTAAAATTGCAAAAAAAGCTAAAAATGCTAAAAA